TCCAAACATCCTCTCCCCTTTGAGATTTATCGTTATTCCGGCAGTAACTCACTGAGGTCGAAGCCACGGACGACCTCATCTTAAGTGGGCAAAGCCTCCTTGTTGAAGAGCGAACTGAACTTTAGAGAAAAATCAGTTCTTCTTTTGGGAATATGCGTTTGCGCTGTTACCCCATGTATTTCGGCGTACTGGCCCTTCAGATTGGCATGAGGCCGACCAATGTAACATGCCACTTGAGGTTTCTGGTCGACTAAGTGCATTTTACGCCATGACAATGAAGAACTGACAAATCTCTTCGAAGCATCAGCATCTAAACAAACCTCTCCCGGCTAGCACATTTTTTTTCTTCAAGTGCTCAACCTTGCCTACGCCTCCCTCTGCTGCTCCCGCTCTAATTCTACCCAATCAACGGTGACCATATTCACAGACGAAAGCGCAGAGGTCATGAGACTCATGAGGATTCTGGCCGAGAATGCCAGATAAGGGCTAAAAAGTCGGATTGCTGGATGCCAGGGAATCGCATGGTACCCACCTGTTTGATGTCTTGGAGTGCGACAGAGTTACCTAGTATGGATCTGCGCATTGTGCGAGGTCGTCTTGTGACTGCTGAGATCTGACAAACACTGTTCCTGGGGAGAACACCTTCTAGCTGATGCAGGCATTACCAAGCCGTACGAAATTAGCGATTCCTTCCAAATTCTTAGAGTACAGTGCACTCAAATAGGCTGAATCACATCCATCATGGTCGTGGAGTTGTGTTAATTTGCATTTATATTTTTCCATCAACGTTATCAAACAGGCAAGTTTACGCCGTCGAATATGTTCGACCTTGCTCTGTGCATTTGTATAAAACGTTGAGGCACCTTTCTGCTTTCCTTTTTGCTGAAATATTCTGGACTCCAGTTACGTCTGACAAATGTTTGCGGATATATCCTGATGCATGCCCAGCTAACTGTCCAACGTTTAGTCTTCATCTGGTAGATTCAGCAATGTTTACAATCATCAGGGCGGGTTGACTCCTGCTCACAATTTGCTCGTCCGATTTCTGCCAATAGCATTCGCGATCAGTCGTCTTTCATCCCTGCTACTGTTCGTCCGCTTTCATCTCATAGATGTCAGGGTAGTCGTGCCAAAAGTTTCCTTCCTGGATTGTTGCTTTTGGGGCGCAGAGTTTCGATGCAGAATGCAGTTGGTCTGCGCCTGCGACCTGTTGCGTTCTCCTCTGGCATGTCAAAGTTGACATCCCGAGTTGCAGATATGTTTCACCCTTACCCCTTTGCCATATATCTTGGTTATCGTGCAACACCATCTAGTGCAGCTGGAAGTCTTGTCGTACCTCTCATTTTCGGATTCGAACGCACGCCTTTGGGTTTACTCAAATATCCATGCGGACGACTTTTCCTGAATTAAACTGACAGTCGTGGGACTTGCAAGTATAGATTTTCATGCGTATTGTTAGCAATAACCAGCACAGTCACTCCTGAATATCGTAATGCGTTCTGCTTCCCGGGATAACTCAAGAAAAACTCCGTCCTTTCATTGGCTCTCGAAACGCCCACCATTGTATCCACAACACCCACATTGGCTACTGACTTATTTAGAGGTTTTGGCAGGCGGATGACGACAAGTAAACCAGAAATGGACGTCCAAGCCTCTGTTGCCTTTGTTAATGCTCCATTTCGCATATGTTCATCGTCGCTGTGTAACTAACCTCATGGGCCCTATATTAAACTAAAAGACACAAGGGGACGAAAACTTCCCGTGAGCGATTGGTAAGTGCCCCTCTACCACAGTTAATATGCACGATCACAACCGATAGGACAACGAGACCGTGGCTCAATGGTTAGGACGTTGGGCTACCCACCATGGTGTAGGACACGCGGTGGACTCGTCGCACACGAGGGCCGAACTGGCATTACCATGGCCTACTTCATTCATAACCACTTTCTGTGGCATGCGCCATCCACTGAAAATACGGTTGACATTGAGTCACCAGTAACAGAGAGATTCGCTCATCCTTGTAGCCTTCTTGTCGTCCGTATGCTGAAGGTGGTATACGTTGTGGTGAATCCTTGCGCTATGCAGACATTCCCGAGAAGGACTTTACTGGTGTTGCGATACACTGCTCTTCTACATCTTAGTCTTCATCTAATGCAGTGTCTGTTGTCTTGGTCTTGAACCATACTCTCCAAGATGTGAACTAATTCACGCACAAGTCACTGTCCTTGCGTCCAGCATGGTGGTCCAACTTTCTCCATGATGTTCTGGCCAATTTGATCCTATGGAGTTGACTGGCATAAATATCCGCAGGAGAGGTCCGTCTGTATTCTACAAGTTCATGTCCTATTAGAACTGTTTTCTGTACGACTGACTGTGAACAATGTTCTCAATATGGAAGGCCTTACTCATCCGAACAGACTGAGTGTAATTCCTTTAGAAGAAATGACAATTGCATAGAAAACGACCCCACTTAACTGAAGCGGGTGGGATCTAGGCCGCCCTTTTGTTGTTTTGATGAAGACATGGTCCCTCGTGCACGAGGACCGAGGACCGAACTGGCATTACCATGGCCGACTTCATTGATAACCACTTTCTGTGGCGTGCCCCATCCAGTGAAAATACGATTGACATTGAGTAACCAGTAACATAGAGATTCGCTCATCCTTGTAGCCTTCTTGTCGTCCGTATGCTGAAGGTGGTATACGTTGTGGTAAATCCTTGCACTACGCAGACATTCCCGAGAAGGACTTTTCTGGTGTTGCGTTTAATTGCTCTTCTAAAGCTTATTCTTCACCTAATGCGATACCTTTTTTCTAAATCCTGAGTCAAACTCTCCAACATCTAGGGTTTTTTCTGCGTTCTGCTTCCAGGATAACTCGGAAGAAACTCCGTCTCTTTCATTGGCTCTCGAGACGCCCGCCATTTTATCCAAAACACCCACATTGGCTACTTGTGCGAAGCATTTCTGTGCCTTTCTTCTGCTGTGACACATCGTACATCATTTTGCCACTTGCCCCTAGACCCCTTGCCTTTGTCTTATACCTTACACACTTTTTCATTTTGTGCTGGCTGATTGTACTTTGTGTCGTTCCCTCTGTACAGAGGTCAACTGCGTCTTTGAATTCTTCTGTACATTTTGTTTCTTTCTCCCCCCCCCCATGCTTCGTTTCCTCCCTTCAGTCATAAGTGTCTTGTATAGCTACTTAAGAATCCTCAATTCCTTCATATCCATTTCGAGAGCTCAATCTCGCTGGGATTTATGTGCACTCCGCTTTGATAAATCTACATTTCTCCCCACCCTCCACCCCCCCCCCCTTTGAAATCATGGTTTCGAAGCCTTGACATTCAGCAAGCCAAATTCAACCTTTCTTCGGTGCAATTTCAAGGCAGATGTCGCAAGAGGAGTTCGTTATTTTAAGTTCAGGGTCTGTTCTCCGCCTTGTCTAACTGCGACCGACGTTTGCAGCCCGGTGTGCGGTTTTCGGGCGCAGCGTGTAAACAATAATCGAAATCACAATATTGTGATGTCTATTGGAAAAAAAGTAACCCTAAGTGAGCGATTTTGCTTTCAACCAATGAATAGCGACTAAGGAAATGAATGGGAAAAACGGCGAAGGTGACTTCTTGTATGGACTCACAAAAAACTGTCTCTAATACCAAGCTGCTATAGAAAGTGCGAGTCATTTTTGATAATTCTCAAACGTTTCAAGCTGGTCCTCGTTGACGGGGCTTGTCGACCTCATGAATTCGAGACCGGTGAGGTCTGACTCAGAATTAACCCCCAGGTGTTTTAACCCGCATAAATAAAACGGATTCAGTCACATGAGACTGACTTATGAACCATTAACATAAGACGACAGCGAAACCAGAACACGCGTTATCGCAAGTCGAAACCGGTGGTTGCGTGTATTTCTGGCATATTCAAACAAGAGTACAGTAAAGTTCGGGTAAACAAGAAAGTGCAAAGAGACAAAGCGAAGATCTAGCTTCCCTCATAAGCACGCCCACATAGACCTCGATAAGTTAGCCGTACCGTGATGCGATATCTGTTTCCGCGTACGGGAGCGATTGTAATTGTATAGTGAGAAGACCAATTTCTGATCAGAAGTTTATTTAATTAGTAAATAACTTACAAAAATACTACTTAATTCTAGGTGGGCGGTCACCACAGTCGGTGGGGAAGCTCTGGTAGGGCTGCGATTCCCTCTATGTGCTTAGACAAAACAACCTGCGCAGCGTGGCAATCAGTCGCCTCCAGCGTCGGGGTTCTCGCCTCTGTAGATAAAAGAAACGAAAGTGACCTTCAGATGAATTCGAAGACGCAAATGCCAAAAGCATCCTAACAAGAAGAGCACATACCTTGACCAGTGTGGGCGACGGGGCCAGGCTTTTGTCTTGAAAGTAAAAAAAAAACCTCATGAAGTCTACGTCAGGCGGTGAATTCCATATACGTGGTTTTTAGTCATTACCCGAGTTCAGGGCAGATAAACATCGTCCCTTGAAGAAGGAGACATCATCAATAGGACAAGGACTTTATTCGCCTGAAGTTCCGGATTCCTGCTCGAACCCATCATCAGATACAAAAGCAAAAGATGGGTTTGAGGAGGAAACCGAAACGTCAGGCGAGTAAGACCCATGTCCCAGCCATCATGTCTCCTTCTTTCCGACTGCCTCCTGGGACTCGTCTCTTCGCTTCTATTCACACATTGTCCATTTAACACGGTAGACATTACGGCCTAAAACGAATTTTGCCATAAAGACTGTAAATATTTAAAATCCGCATTTTCGACATACCATTGGACGTCAGCTGCACGTTCACAACGCCGTCGCCGCTGCTGTCCAAGACTGGAGTTGTCTGAGTCCACCTCATTTCAGTTTTCTGGGGAACTCCTGTCTGGAGGAGCCGTGTCAGTGGGTTCCGGGGTGAGTCACCACCCCCTCTGAGAGGAAGATCAGAATCGTGTGTCTCGCTGAGATGGCTGCTAAGGAAGCCGACTTCATCAGCAGGCGAGAGACGCGAAATGAATAGGGGTGGTGGCGGCGATGAGGGCGGCGTCGACGTCGTCGTCGGCGGTGGCGGCGGCGGCGGCGGTCGCGTCAACGTCTTCAACGGCACCAGCAGCTGGGAGGGTGATGAGGATGATGCTGGTGGAGACGAGGTAGTCGTTTTCAACAGTTCTGGTGATGAGGAGGGTTGGGTTGATAATGGCAATGGACTCAACCCCTTCAACACTTCTGGGATTTGAGACTGTGGAAGAGAAAGTTGTGGGGAAGGGGTCAGCGTCGACAAGGGTTCGGGCGGTGGTGTCAATGGAGTTGAGGGTTTCGGCGACGACGGCGACGGTGACGGCCACGCAATCAGTGCATTTAGGAGCTGAGACGGAGTCGGGGAGGGGGCAGGGGACGGCTTCGGAGACGGAGGCGTGTACTCCTCTGCAGTCGCTACTGTCTCCACCCGTTTCAATGTCAACCATCCTGGTGGCGGTGGTGGTGGAAGTGGTGGCGGGTGTGGCAGTGCGGACAACGACCTTGGCGGTGGCGGATTCGTTGGCGTTGAGAGTGTCAGGGTGGCCGAGTGTCGCGGCCGTGGGCAGGGCCGTTGTGGTGACGTCACTGGTCTGCACAACTCCAAGTCCAGCAGACAGGGGAACGTTGGTGGTAGAGCTGGTGACGGCGAAATCGGCGCCGTGAACGGATGAGGTGGTGGAGAATGTGAGAGTGGCGATTTCCTTGATCGCATTGGTGCCAACAACGACAGCGGTGGTGGTGGTGGTGGCTGCGGCTGTGGAGGAGGTGACAGCGGCGACATGGCTGCTGGTTGGGATTGTCCCAGAGCCAACCTGCGAGATCGCGGATGTGGAGTCGGACGGGGATTCGATGCACTAAATGCTAGCGTTGGGGGTCTCGGGTCCCTCTGTGGAGAATCAAGCGTGGGGGTTGAGGATGAAGACGATATTGATGAAATGGAGCTGCTTGAACCGGCCGCTGATACACTATCCACTCCACCTTCCGACGCCTTCTGGTGTGCGGGATTTGATGGTTGCGTTATGGGAGATGAATTAACTTCCAGAGTGCGAAGGTCTTCTTCACTTGTGAGGCTCAAGCGACTGACATATCCCAAACTTGTTGCCCCGGAGATTTTCTCACCTAATCTAGAGGGAGCTGATCTCCATCGGACAGCTGTGTGCTCGGTGCCAGTTGTCCATATGGATGTATTAGAGTTAAAGCTTATGTCCTGTTCAATGCTAGATTCCTCCTTACTGTCCGCGTTTCTATTGTCCTTAAATGTCAAGGGATCTGTAGACGAGGATGCTACGCTAAGTGTGCTGACGGGAGTTGCGCAATTTGGCCATTCGTACCTATTGTATTGTGATGCACTAGGAACTAGAAGAGAAGTTGAAGAAAATTCATTACGTTAAATCTGATCTACTTATAGGGAGAAAGTCCTGATTTAAACTGAATGCATGAAAGCTTACATCAACAATCTAAAGCAATGCTACACTTTGCTCCATGTCGTCCCTCATCCGCGGCCATACATATTGGATATGTGACACTTAGATGGCTAAAATTCATAAAGTAGGTTTAACGGATCGGCCGATGTAAGCTAGGTCATGCATTCATAAATACCTTTTGCGATGCATATGCCTTATTCATAATTTCTCAAACTACTTTATTTATACGCATTCAAATTGTGGCGTAAGTGTTGTAGACGATGAGATGATGGAAGAATGAATCTTGAATGATACGAGCGAGGAATGGACTTACTGCTATCCGCGTATGGCGGTCCGCCTACATCCTGAGTAAATATGCCTTGTTCATACGGTAAAGTTGATGATCCAGCTACATCTGGAACATTATTCCACCATTTAATGTAACGACGTAACATTCTCGTTGGACTGAGCATCTCGTAGCTCGTCGAGTTGCTTTGTGACGCAGTTCAAGGATTATGTTGTATCGATTGGCTTCGTGCGACCTTGAACCCGACCAAGGACGCGGATGCCCACCGGCGGCTGTTGCATCAGGTGGTGATCACGTGTTACGGAATAGAAGTAGTGTGAGCCTTAGAGGAGGGAATTCAGTTGCTGCAGAATTAAGTGGACAGGCCTGATATTCGGCGGTTTTTACTTCATGCTGAAGTGATCAGAAATGTCTGAGGTAAAATTACTTGGTTGTGGCGTTCGCCGGTTTAGAGAGCGAATTTAGTCGTTCTAACGATATAAATGTATTTTACAAGAAGTCACTTCTATTAGACGTATCCTTATTCTTCCCCCTCAATCATAACTATCTGAATAACTTTAAATTTATGTGAGTCCCTCAGCTGAGAGCCGACTTTAGTCTGCTATTCCGGATTAAAAATATTTTGAAGGATTTCAACCACTGCACCCGTTAGTTGTTCCACATGGCATTCGTAATTTTTCCTTAATAGTCATCTGTTCATTTCCGCCACCTCTAAATATTTCAGTCATATAAGCATGCCAGTTTTTGACAGAGCTTCGTTGGTCTCGTCTGGATAAACTATACTCGGGAAGAATGACTGGTTGAGTAGCAAAGATTTTTCCAATGAATTATCGCTGTCCTCATAAATTCCAATATGTCTCCCGGAAAACCCACCCAAAATTGATTTTTCTTTTGCTCATATAGTGGAGAATTACGTCCTCAAATTCTATGCTTAGAAAGGAGTATCACCAGGTTGATTTAAGTTTTTTAATTCTGAGATTTTTTAAGATCCCAAAATGTCCTTTCAAAAGCCGTCGTATTTCTTCGTCTGCTAGTGCTGCTTATGAATCAAATCCTCTACAAGCTTTTATGAATGTCGGACGGCTTCTTCTTAGTAACCCATAAAAATACATGATTTTCCAAACACAGAAAATACAGATTTTGTAGTTTAGAATCCCTGAATGCGAGGGAGCCGACGGGTCGGTTTCAAAATCATTCGTGGACTGGAGGGTTTTTTAAAACTGAAAGATACTATTTCTTCAAATATCAAATCTAAAGAATTCGTAACTTTCTGCCAAATGAGTAGTAGGAAGAATATTTTTGTACATTTTTTCTATAAAATATACTCGTATGTATAAGGGTGTGGAAAACCGATTCAAAAATTAATGCTACTCAAGTAGTTATTTTGGACAACAGCACGTTTTTCTTAGCATTGAAAGTCAGCTTTGCATATCCATGCGGTTTCGTTTCCTGGAACGGGCGTGAACCTTCGAGGAGGGGATTTAGTTGATGCAGAACTAAGTGGACGAACCTGCTATTCGGCGGCTTTACTTCGTGCTACAGCAATCAAAAATGCCTGAGGTAACATTTCCTGATTGTGACGTTCGCCGATTTAGAGAGCGAATTTAGTCGTTCTAACATTGCAAATGTACTTTACATGAGGTCAGTTGTATTAGACGCATCCGTATACTTCCTCTTCAATCAGAAACTATCTGAACAGCTTTAAATTTCTGTGAGCCCTAGCTCAAAGCCGACTTCCGTCTCCGATTGCAGATATATATAATTTTGGCAGATACCCGAACTACGACCACACTGGTAAAATGGAGAACCCTAAGCCTGGCCCTGAATATTAATCCTAAACCTAATCCTAAATAATAACTCTAAATCCTAACCCTAAGCTAACTCTTGATCCCCCATCTTAGTCCTCAAATACTAACCCTAACATTGAACCCTACATCCCTAAACCCCAAATGCTAACCCTTACACTTACCTCTGAACCCTTAACTGTAATCCTAATCCCTGACCTTAACCGTAACCCTAACACTAAACAGAAACCCAACTACTGGAATCGATATTAGTACGAGAATCTTAGACAAGTGAGAAGGAAATTACTAGATGGCGCTGCATTTCAGGCCTCTGCCAACATTTCAAACCTTCGTCGGATTTCAATCCCTGCACCAGTTATTCGTTCCATATAACATTCGTAATTCTTCCTCAATATTTATCCACCTACCTCCACCACCTTTAAACACTCTCCCCTTATCAGCTTTTCATAGAAGGCTCTGCTACCCCATTAAATGTTAACCGTATTTCTGAGGCGTGTTTTCGTTTCGAAGGGATAGGATACTCAGCAAAAAATGACACGTTTAGTAGTATGGATTATTCCAATTGGTTTTCCATGTCCTTGTACACTTAAATGCGCCTCACAGAAAACACGCACAAAATGTGTCATTTTTCTCATTTGTCTGCGAATTATTTATTCGTACAATTTTGTACTTAAAAGACAGTACCACCAGGTTTTAACAAAACTGTATTATTGTGAGATTTTAAGACCGCGAAATTTCCTTCATAAAGCACCGCATCTCTATGTTAACTAATGCTGCCTGTGAATTATAGAGTAAAAAATTAATGCACTGCAAAGTTTTATGAAAGCCACACGTCTTCTTCTCAGTGGCGTATAGAAATGCATAGTTTTCCTAGCACGGAAAATACACATCTTGTAGTTTGGAAGGCCTGAGCGTTAGTGTGATAGCAGGTCGAATTTAAAATGATTCGGAAACTGGAGAATTTTCTAAAACCGAAATATGTTCGTCGAGTATAGAGTTTGAAGTATATGTAACTTTCTACCAAACGAGAGTGAAAGAAACAACGTTTTGGAACATGTAAGTAATTATAGTTCACAGAGTGTACTTTTTGCAAACAACCCGAATGAACCTCGTTTAAGGCCGGCATCCTGGCATGACTGATATTTCTTGAGATTCTGCCGCGTGACCATAAATGCTACGGCCCCATCTAGCTCATCTTTCCAAATCGAAAACATAATTCGGATTTTCGGTCAACATTTTATAAAGTAGCACATCTACTGTACTTCTGCATCTGTTCCGTGCGGCCTTCTCCATGACTTCGTGAAGTGCACATGGCAAATGTACAAATGAGATATTTAGGATTGTGGCTACCATAGGAGACGCAACTTGACTGTTCGACAAATAGTCCGCATTTTATGTGGAACAGTTACCAGGTGGCTTTCGGTTCACACGCGGGACACTCCCAGCGAGATTCTGGTTGCCCGTTAAAATGTGGGAGCCTCGCCCCCTTAGTGCCCCTGTCAACAGACATCACGGGACACGTCTCTTGTGGCACCTCTGAGTCGATTGCTGCAATGCCGTACCTGCATCCAAACAAAGATTTCCGGGATCATAGCTCATATGCCACATCCTGAGGGGTGTGCTCGTCTTTCTTCATGAATTTCATTCTCATGTCATAATCTGCCAGCGTCGAGTAACCGATAATTTCCAGTGTTCGTACTGTCTCATCACAGCCTGCTATACATTGACTTTCCTCTTAACATCAACTCGTTCTGATCCGCCCTACGTATTCGGGGGCGGTTGCTTTCTCTTGAAAAGCTCAGATTCTCGGAAACCTCTGAAATCGTCCAAGTTTCCACTTAAGGATTCTGTTTTCGCTGTTCTGCCTACGAATCGCTGTTTTATATAAAAGATGCCAATACCGAATCCGTGGATGTTCATATAATGGGTGCGATATATGAACTGCTAAAACTTTCGCGGACTCAAGTAGCACTCCCTTCTTTAAAGAAGTACTCATTCGAATTCCATTCTACTGTTGTTTGCTTCACGCAAGCCTCCAGGCCCAGATTTGGAGATGCAATTCCGTCATTTTAATCAATGTTCTCGTTGCGTTAGTAGTAATGCTCACTCAGCCTCCATTGTGGAATGCAGGCCTGGGGATAGATGGTGTCCCAGGAGGCCTATCGTTGAAGTGCAACGGCTGAAATGCAGCGATACGATTGTTTGGACTTTTAAATGATGCCAATGGTTGGAGTATGCTGATGCAGTTTTCTTTATTGTAGGGGAGGAAAGTATGCTAGGAGCGTCAAAACCTCAGGGTGTCCTAATCAGTCATGTATGACAGTTGACTAGGAGACCGCGAAACTCGATGATTACATCAACTTCCGGTTCTCTACCGGTAGACCCCAACACTGCCGAGAGCAGAACAAGCCCCTAAGTCAGTTGTTAGGGCGTTGGGCTACTAACCAGCGGAACGCGAACTTGGGCTTCAGGATTTGCAAACCTGGAATTGGATGTGTCTGGTTGATGATGACTAAAGAGCCAGCAATGGCCATTCCAGTATGCCTTATCGTTCTCATAGTCCTTCCATAAAAATAGGTGACCTACATCATCCCCTTTAAAAGGCGACGAAGAAGAACTGGCGACTTCATGGACGATATTGTACTTGTCGGTGACTTTCTCATTTTCATTATCGGACTACTGTAGTGTCTGCTTCAGATATCCTGGACTTATTTAGCTTTGCACCTGACTCGTGTTATAGTCATGCCATGGTAGACACGATGAAGGTCTGTAGCTCGGTTGAGTGTACCAGTTGAGGACCAACATTCGGACACGAGTCTGCACATTTCCTCATTGGTTCGGCCGATGCCGCTTTCCTCTACAAAGGCGAAACCGCGCGTCTCCCGTTGGATATGGGCATATACCAGTGGAAGTTTATTCTTGCGGCCAACTGCGAGCTGGCCCTCATGCAGACTTGTGTAAAGACGTCTGCCCGCTTCACCAACATACTTCACACTGCAGTTTTAGCATTGCACACTCTAGATCGCCGCTGATTATTCCGTTGCTGTCAACTATTTTTTCGGCTTAAATACGACCTACAGGCCACGAATATGTTTCAGAATCCTTGGGGTCACCTTCGAAACCTTCATCTCATAGGAACTAGAAAAGCAACTCTTCAGCTACTCAACTTCTGACCGCTCAAGACGAGATTACTTAGGCACTTACGTAGGTATGACCGTGAATGAACATTGGCTGTGAACAGGTAGGGTAGGTATTTCACTTCCTCCTTTCTCCTCTCCTCATCGCCACAATGTGCCTGAGCTGAACTGAAAGAGTGTTCTAGCATAACTGGATTTGTGACCAATAGGATGGTTACATTTTAGATGGGAAAGCTGTCTAGTTTTCATCACCATACAACGTACCCCAGTTCTTATCCACCAACTTTCTAGCCCTTTGTCTTGCACATCATGGAAAGGTAACTGACTGTTATTTTCTAGACTGTTATTTCACTAGACGTGTCATTTTGTGCTGAGTATCCTATCCCTTCGAAACGAAAACACGCCTCAGAACTTCGGTTAACATTTCATGGGGTAACAGAGCCTTCTATGAAAAGCTGACCAGGGGAGAGTGTTTAAAGGTGGTGGAGGTATGTGAATAAATATTGAGGAAGAATTACGAATGTTATATGGAACGAATAACTGGTGCAGGGATTGAAATCCGACGAAGGTTTTACATGTTGGCAGAAGCCTGAAATGCAGCCCCATCTAGTAATTTCCTTCTCACTTGTCTAAGATTCCCGTTGTAATATCGATTCCAGTAGGTGGGTTTCTGTTTAGTGTTAGGGTTACGGTTAAGGTCAGGATTAGGATTGCGGTTAAGGGTCCAGAGGTTAGTGTAAGGGTTAGCATTTGGGGGTTAGGGAAGTAGGGTTCAATGTTAGGGTTAGTATTTGAGGACTAGGATGGGGGATCAAGAGATAGCTTCAGGTTATGATTTAGATTTATAATTTAGGATTAGGCTTAGGGTTATAATTTAGGGCTAGGGCTTAGGGATCTCCATTTTAAAAGTGTGGTCGTACATCAGGTCTCTGCCGAAATTATATTTATCTGCAATCGGAGACGGAAGTCGGCTTTCAGCTAGGGCTAACAGAAATTTAAAGCTGTTCAGATAGTTTCTGATTGAAGAGGAAGTATACGGATGCGTCTAATGCAACTGACATCATTTAAAGTACATTTGCAATTGCCCATACAGCCCCTAATTAACACTTGAGATGTATGAAACAAGTCAAAGCATCCATGAATGTTTACGTGATTTCTCGATCCTACTCCTAACTGTACCACCATACGAACGTACTTGCTACACTTTGCTGTTCTTATCCTCCCAGCTCGCCGACGTGCATTTGACGCAGGAATCAAACCCACATCGGACTTCAAACGAGCCACAAATATATTCCTTCAACTCTTTGACCATCCACAGGCCCCATGGGTCGCCAACCAACGTTTCGCCATCCTCCGTCAAAGCCCCACACAGTCCGTAGTCAATTTTGCGGGGTGCATAATACGCCTGACAACCATAGGTCACACCAACTTACCGGAGACAGACCGTGACTCTCTACTCCTCCACCATTTCATCGCCGATCTACACGACGAAAAGGTGGCAGACATTCTCCATTTGCCCCCTCCCCCTAACTTATCCTCTGCCATTCGACAGTATCGACCATATGAAATGTTGGTGGGTGGCAGGCCATCGAGAGAGGTTCTTACTGGCGGTGAGATGGAAATAGCGGTAGTCGTCGTCGTCGTCGTCCTTGTGGAGATGGAGTAGGAATGATGAAGTTGGTGGAGGGCGTAATGTCCGTTGACAACATGGACTCGTTGGAAGGAACTGGATATGTTGGGGTTGTGAGCCTACAGCACCTGAAGCTTGCGAGTCACTCTTCTGGCTTTTGCGGCACCGATCCGGTTGACCTCGTGGATTGCTATCTCAGTCCTCACTGTTATTTTCCAGATCGGTCGATTGTGGCAAAGATCCTTCCGGGCCGGTGGATTGATTTGTTGATCCTTTAAGGAGGTCGGCAGGACGTATTTGTAGTGTGGGTCTCGATGGTCGCTCCACATCCAAATGGACTCGCATTTCCACGGCATTATCACGTCGCAAGCAGCATTGGAGTGGTAGGGAGGGGAGAACGTATACGGTCGTGAGGTGGGACATTCTGATGAGGAGGAAGCAGGAGTTGATGTCATCAGCGAGTTTTCCAATCTCTCAGTCAACTGTTACACATGTCTGACTAGCGCTCATTGATGTTCTAACGCTCCTAGGATGCTTGTCTTCTCCAGGATACAGAAAACAACATCAGCATACTACAAATATTCGCATCATTCAAAAGTCGAGACAAGCCTTTCTCTGCATTTCAGTCACTGAATGGCCCAGCTAAGGGGACATTGGTTCGACAGTATGTTCCTTGCCCGTTTCCCACACTCAAATGCCTGAATTAAGCCAAGGTCCATTGGGACAACCTCAAACCCGGAGCCCGCATCCCATAATCGGTGATAGCTAGCAACAGAGACAGAGAAGACTGAATAGGCATTACTATCATTAATAGTAATAGCTTTATTTTGAAGTGACCGGAGGAATGTATTAGTGCAATGTGAAGACTGGTTTAAACAGTGCGATAATTTACCATAATTTTGGTCTGGGTGTCTGCATGAAGCAAGCAATTGTACAATGGAATTGAAAGATAAGTTTTATGAAGTAGGAAAGGATACTGGTGTCCGGGAGCGTTTTAGCATACATCATGCCTATGGTAGTAATATTCACATATTCCCAATTGACATTTTGAGGTAAAACAACGATCTGTGTGTGGAGCAGTAAAACAGACTCCTGAACATGAAGCACGGTGGGGGCGGGGACTTCATAGAATCCGAGCTTTTTTGGAAGGAAACAAGCACCGTGCAAGACAGTGGAGGAGTTCAGGACAGGTTCATGTTGACAGGTGGTAGTCGATTTACGGCAGAGGGTGATGAGAAAGTCAAAACACTGCGGAAGTAAGTGGTTGTGCAGTGCTGACGAATTAGGAGAAGGGTTAGAAATTTATGAGAAAAACGAGCACAATCCTCATCGTGTCCGCCATGGTTCATGAACCCGGAAGCCCTTGACCGGATCCAGCTGCGGCAGTGTGACAACCGACTCAGAGGTGTCACAAGAGACACGCCCGATGGTGTTCCTTTGCAGGAGAACTGAGGGGGCGAGGCCATCACATTTCAACTGCCAGTCAGAATCTCGATGAGAGTGGTCAGCGAGAGCACCGGAAGCCGCATGTCTCATGAAACTCGGTCTATTTATCAAACGATTGAGTTAAATCAATTTGGTTTACCTAAGAATTACCTTATTTCGCAACAAGTGACCGCCGGTGGGCAGCCGCGCCGTTGTTCAGGTCCAGGGTGACCCGAAACCATTCAAGACAATTCAGCCCTTGAATTGCATCACAAATCAACTCGACGACCTACGAGATGTTAAGCCCAACGAGGATGTTATTTCGTTACATCAGATGGTGGAATTAGGATCCAGATGTAGGTGGATCATTAAGTACACCCTATGACCGTGGGATGTTCAGTCAGAATAAAGACGGAACCTCGTACTCATAAAGCATTAAGTCCATCCCTCGTATCTTTCAAGATTCATTCTTCCTTCATCACATCGTCTACAACACCTAGGCAACAATGTGAGCCCGTATAAATGACGTAATTTGAGTAATTATGAATAAGGCATATGCATCGCACAAGGTCTTTATGCATGCCTGTTCTTTTTTACATTGACCGATCTTTTTAACCGACTTGCTTTATTTAAGCCAGCTAAGCATCACTTATCCAATATCTACGACCGAGGATGAGGGATGACCTTGGGCGTAAAGAAGCATTATTTTAGGTTGTTGGTGTCGGCTTTCATGAATCGATTTTAACTCATGACCTTCTACCTAAATATAGATCAAATTACACGTAATCCATTTTCTTTACCTTGTCTTCTAGTTCCTAGTGCATCACAATCTAATACGTGCAAATGGCTCAATTGCGCATCTCCCGTCAGCACACTTAGCGTAGCATCCTCATCTACAAATCCCATGACTTTTAAGGACAGTAGAAATGCGGACAGTAAGGGCGATTCTAGCATTCAGCAGGACATAAGCTTCAACTCTGATACATCCATATGGACAACTGGCACCGAGCTCAGATAGCATTAAGTCCACTCGTATCTTTCAAAATTCATTCTTTCATCATCTTATCCCCTGCAGCACCAAAGCAACAATTTGATGTAATTTGAGTTATTATAAGTAAAATGTGATTTGCATCGCACAAGGGCTTTATGCATGCATGTCCTAGTCTACATCGACTACGTCTGTAGGCCGACCAGAATTACTTAAGCCATGTAAGCATCATGTGACCAATATGGACGGCCGAGCACACTGAAAGGCAACCTAAGCATTGTTTAGCACAAACCAACCCCCCTGCAAACCAGAAAGAATGCGGAGGTGAGCCAAGCTGTTCATGCAGTTGCGCTTCATTGATATCGTACTCATCGTTAACCTCCACGCGTAATCCCTAACATAAGCACCCAGGATCGCCAACTCTCTTTATCATGATAGAACATGCTAGTAGCCAATGAGGCTTTACGAATTTTGTACCTGTGAGGCTTGTGCGACTGATGGAAGCAGCCCGGAGAATTCCGCATGCGGCCTAGTGGTAGCCGGTATCCACCTAACAGCTGTGTACGCGGTGCCAGTTGTTCAGATGGATATATCAGAGTTAAAACTGATGTCCTGGTCGATGAGGCAATCCTCCTTACAGTGGGCACTTCTACGGTACCTACAGCTCACTGGAAGTGTAGATACAGGTGCTAGGGTAATTTTGCTTACAGGGGTTCCACGGGTCGACCATTAAACGTATAGAGTGCTGATTCATTAGAGGCTAGTGGAAAAGTTATGAAAATCCATTAAGTGAAATCTGACCTGTAGTGAGGAAGTTAGCCATGCTTTACAACAAATTATTGAAAGCCATTACATCTATTGCTACCGGCGAAATAATGATTGATATATTTGCGTAGACCTTTCATCCTAGAGCGTCCATATTGGATGCAGTATATATGCTATGTCATGAAATGTTAGCCGAAATTTCCAAATGCGTGTTCTATTCGAAAAGAATATTTAAGTAGGTTTGCTATGCGAATGATCGTGTCGCATTACGCCAATATATTCC